AAAATGCAATTTTTTTTTTACCAATATATGTCGGAGTACTTAATTAAACAAATTATGCAAAACTATGCGCACAAATACAACATGATCTTGGACGTTTTTATATTGCACTGTCGCAAACTATACACCATATGCTTGTGTATACAAGTGCACTCAGATGATCGTTGTGATGAAAATGCTGGCTGCTTTAACAGCGATTTAATAGCGAAAAACCTTGTCTTCGTCGCTGACTTTGTCGTAATTCCTGGGTTTAAAATCATTAGCAAACCTTTATAATCCAAGTTTAAGGACTAGTCCAAACTTAGGCCATATGTTATACTAATTGATGATACTGAACCAAAACAAAAAACAAGGCTGTTTTGGAATCGCTGACGAAGTCTGGTACATGAACAAAATAAAGATATATTTTTGACAGACTGCATCTTGTTAATCGACTCCTGTGTAAAACGATTTCACAAAACATGATTTCAGGTAAAGCCTGTAATTACAAAAGTCTACATTCCACTTTATTTTTTTTTAAGCTACAGCAACTATTTACAAATCCACAAAGACATATCACTTTAAATACTCTGGATTGCCAGTTTTGTGCAATTTCCCGACAGCTGTTTTGCGTTACTCCAACTGGCGCCCCAAGGCAGCTTTTTGTGACAACTTAGCCATAGGCTGTGTCCGAGTACGGGCGATTCCCAATACAGTGCTCCACACCACAAGGTCACCACGGAGAGTCCATTTTTCAAGTTTACGGTCGACAAAAACATGGCCGACTTGCCGTGATTTGAATGAATGTCAGTAGACAACTTGAGGAAATTGTTGATAGATCAAGGCAAAGCATTCCTCTGCCTCACAAAAAAACCCAAAACACCATATCTTCATAAAAAGAAAAGAAAAAAAAAAGATACATGAATCATACGCTGTCGCTTACGAACCTACTGACTAAGACAAACTAAATGTAACAATTTTATAGCATCCCACATCTTGGCAATTTTGTCAACAGTCTCCCACAATGCCCTGCGAAAAATTGACTCTCCGTGGTAATCGCTTGGTGGCTGACTGTATTGAAAATTGCCCTTTTATTACTTTACAGCTGGCAGTAACGCATGGGCCTACTGAATGCAGATTTAAGTCACTTCCATATGATTAAGCCACTTCAATGTAGGTCAAGCGAAACTCGGCCATAACCACATCACCATTCCTGCCAAAGGTGCATATGGCAGCTTACTTTAAGGGCCCTGTACACTTTGATCTCCATTAGTAAGACTGGATAGGACACAGCGCCTTCCATCTTGTGCAAGCACGTATAGTCATCGGTGAGGGTTTGAAAGTTAAACCCGCACTGTGCTACCCAGCTGTATGTGTCCGCGTTTTCTGAATCTTCACTACGCGCAAGTATACGCATGTCCTATCCAGTCTTACTAATGGAGATCAATGTCTGTGCACAAGTACTCCCTCAACGGTTATCATTGTTGTCATTGCCGGAAGAAAAAGGCCAATGGAGGACAATTACAGGATCGTTTTTAAATTACAATTGCAGTTGGCTCTGTTATTACAAAATATCTGTACACCAAGTAAAAAAAAAAGTTTAGCGTCCTGCCTTTTTGCAAAAAAAAGAAAGGAGGCTCTTTTCTTTTCTTTTTTTTACTTCCAAAATGGCCGCCCAACCCGGCTATATTTCAAAATGGCCGCCACTTTGACTCAGGAAATGACATACCAGCTTCATATGGGCTAGATGCAACAGATAAAGAGGCCTAAATGAGGTCACTGTTTAAAATGTATCATTTTGGGGGTTTAAAAAAAAGGAGGGGGACTCCAAAAAGGAAGCGGGCGGGGACGCTAAACATATTTTTTTGTGTTTGATTTGGCCTTAACAATCTCCCAACTCCGATGGAGACAGCATAGCTTGAAGTTCGACCAAACCAACACATGTACAGCATGTACACATGTACCGGGGTAATCCGATTCATCTTGTGCCCAGCATTGCACAGGGGAACCATTTTGTGTACAGCATCCTAGCGATCAACTACTAGATTTCTAAACCTACATAAAAAAATATCACCACTTGGGACGATGGAATACATCAAACATTTAGTCATAATGATTCAACTATTTAAACAAATTTGTTCGACGCAAATTACATACATGTACATTATATAGTCCATCATCGAAATCAATTTACAATGTAGTAGCTATGCTTGTTTGTCATAATTCTCAGAAAATTACTTTTTTGAAATCAAAATATTGCATGTCATTCAAACTAAGATTGTTTGCCAATTTCAATCATACATTTCCATTATTATTCCTTGCATTTAAGTTTTAATTCTAAAAAAATTAAAAATAATAATAAAAAAGGATTGTTCATATCACTACAATTTATATGGTATGGAATTGATATCCGATTTTTTTCTTAAAAGCATTTCTCAACTTTCGAATTACTACACTGGAAAGCACTGATAATTATTACCCATTGCGTGTGACCACCATTGCGATATCACCCCCATGATCAATACCATGACTCATGGACTAGTTTATTTGTGCATAAACATACAAATGGGGCTTTATCAGAGGGGCTTTTTGGCCAGGACATTTTGGGACGCTACAATGGCTCTCATCAAGGTTAATATACCTTTGTCTGAATGAAGGAACCTGTGAAAATGCAATTTTTTTTTTACCAATATATGTCGGAGTACTTAATTAAACAAATTATGCAAAACTATGCGCACAAATACAACATGATCTTGGACGTTTTTATATTGCACTGTCGCAAACTATACACCATATGCTTGTGTATACAAGTGCACTCAGATGATCGTTGTGATGAAAATGCTGGCTGCTTTAACAGCGATTTAATAGCGAAAAACCTTGTCTTCGTCGCTGACTTTGTCGTAATTCCTGGGTTTAAAATCATTAGCAAACCTTTATAATCCAAGTTTAAGGACTAGTCCAAACTTAGGCCATATGTTATACTAATTGATGATACTGAACCAAAACAAAAAACAAGGCTGTTTTGGAATCGCTGACGAAGTCTGGTACATGAACAAAATAAAGATATATTTTTGACAGACTGCATCTTGTTAATCGACTCCTGTGTAAAACGATTTCACAAAACATGATTTCAGGTAAAGCCTGTAATTACAAAAGTCTACATTCCACTTTATTTTTTTTTAAGCTACAGCAACTATTTACAAATCCACAAAGACATATCACTTTAAATACTCTGGATTGCCAGTTTTGTGCAATTTCCCGACAGCTGTTTTGCGTTACTCCAACTGGCGCCCCAAGGCAGCTTTTTGTGACAACTTAGCCATAGGCTGTGTCCGAGTACGGGCGATTCCCAATACAGTGCTCCACACCACAAGGTCACCACGGAGAGTCCATTTTTCAAGTTTACGGTCGACAAAAACATGGCCGACTTGCCGTGATTTGAATGAATGTCAGTAGACAACTTGAGGAAATTGTTGATAGATCAAGGCAAAGCATTCCTCTGCCTCACAAAAAAACCCAAAACACCATATCTTCATAAAAAGAAAAGAAAAAAAAAAGATACATGAATCATACGCTGTCGCTTACGAACCTACTGACTAAGACAAACTAAATGTAACAATTTTATAGCATCCCACATCTTGGCAATTTTGTCAACAGTCTCCCACAATGCCCTGCGAAAAATTGACTCTCCGTGGTAATCGCTTGGTGGCTGACTGTATTGAAAATTGCCCTTTTATTACTTTACAGCTGGCAGTAACGCATGGGCCTACTGAATGCAGATTTAAGTCACTTCCATATGATTAAGCCACTTCAATGTAGGTCAAGCGAAACTCGGCCATAACCACATCACCATTCCTGCCAAAGGTGCATATGGCAGCTTACTTTAAGGGCCCTGTACACTTTGATCTCCATTAGTAAGACTGGATAGGACACAGCGCCTTCCATCTTGTGCAAGCACGTATAGTCATCGGTGAGGGTTTGAAAGTTAAACCCGCACTGTGCTACCCAGCTGTATGTGTCCGCGTTTTCTGAATCTTCACTACGCGCAAGTATACGCATGTCCTATCCAGTCTTACTAATGGAGATCAATGTCTGTGCACAAGTACTCCCTCAACGGTTACAAAGGAAGAGTTGGGGGAGACTAGCGGGAGGGACCTTCAAATCGAATGCTCACATGAAGACGTTATAGGTTTGCGCTCTTGTATGGCTTTACGATTGAGGATAGACACACAAACGGAGAACAAAAAAGCCTTTCAGTCCTCGAGTGTTGGGTTTTTCGTTGAAAACGGTCCTCGATCGTACGGTTATGTGCTTAGTCTACGGTAGAGTGTTATAATACATGAACAAAGAACACAAAGCATTGTCCTCGAGTTGTACTTTCATGAAGATTATTAGTTTGTCGTGTCCGTGCAACAAGGTCGTATCTCCTAAAATGGCGTGTGACATCATGTACGTGAAACGCGAGTTTTCAATGTCAATAGGTCGTATCTCGCTCAAAATAACCCGGATGTACACACAAAGTCAATGGAGGTCGCGATATGCGAGATACGACCTTGTTGCGGAATCGAGTTACGACCTTATTGCACTAACGCGACAAGTTTCTAACTATTCATCAGATGGAAGTTTGCGTCGGGGTGATGTAAATCAAATTAGATGTTGCCCTTCACCGACGTATAAACACTGTATACTCAGTGTATTACCTTCTATTGTACATCAGATTTGAACAGCCAACCGATCCTGTTAGCTCGGTAGTCGAGTGGTAAGACATCTGCACTAGAAAGCAGGAGGTCGTGGGTTCGAGTCCCACAAGAGGAATTTTTTCCAACTTTCACTCGGGAGTAATACACCGAGTATAGAGTGTTTATACGTCGGTGAAGGGCCAAATGTAATTTGATTTACATCACCCCGACGCAAAATTCCATCTTATGAATAGTTAACGCGGTACCCGCTGCTATGTACATCAGATTCAAACCAGCCAACTGATCCCGTTAGCTCGGTGGTCGAGTTGTAAGACATCTGCACTAGAAAGCAGGAGGTCGTGGGTTCGAGTCCCACCCGAGTGATTTTTTTCCAACTTTCACTCGGGAGGTAACACACTGAGTATACAGTGTTTATACATTGGTGAAGGGCAAAACCTAATTTGAGTTACTAACTTTCACACAAGTGGGGATGACATTTAGTGTTATGTGACAAAATCCTGAAATAAAAATTACAGCAGAGAAATACTGATGAAATGGGAAAGCCTTAGCTACAAACCAGCAGTGCTTCCACTCACGCGAACATGTTTGCATTTGGAACGATAATGTCATCAAGACACTGTTGTCAAAATGGCGGCGCCCAATATGTCAATCTTACAAGTGTCACTGTTAAAATAAGTAGCTTTTAAAATCCTTAAAAAACATACCTGTGACTGGAAGTCGAACGTTGCCAATGTTATATGAACTTACTGCAGATTAATTGCTGAGTGAATACATTAAGTATGACCCCTGACCTACGCTAAACGTAGTTGGTGGTGCCAGATTGGTTGAGCTCAGACGTGAACTGGACCGCCCAGTCGACTTTCATTGGCCGGAACAGCCCAAAGCATGTGCACTCGAAGAAGTCGACCAAGTTTCGAAGAACGCCCCGACTAGAAATTAAATATAAAAAAAATAAAAAATAGATAAGTTGAGCATTATCAAACATACATGTTTAGTCTTTGACATTACTACTTGTTGGATTACGCCGATATGCAAATGTGACCAGATCCCAAATATGAGTCTTAATGACTTCGTTACTACGCAGTTTTTTTTTTTAAGGTGCATGGGAATATTTGCTTTTTGTGCATTTTTTTTTAATTTTAAGCAACAATATTGCTCAGAATCTTAAGAAAGGTGCATAACAATTAACTTGTTGAAGTTTCAGCTCAGTGGATACTATACATTTTGAAGAAAAAAAACAGAGAAAAGGTATGCACAAATTTTGGGGTCTTTTTTACTAGATTCCGTTGCTAATGCCCACAGGTAACAATCTGTGCCCGTGGACACAATTTTCTAAAACTACCTTGAATTAGTGTTGTCTTCCGAATGATGTCATTTCAGACGGAATAATTTCACAGGGTATTTAGAACCAGTCCTATCTTCACTTTGAGCAAGGATTTCTTGTTAAATTGGTAGGTACATTTCCGCGTATTTGCAAATGCCCCTACCTGCCTTTATCAAACCATCAGACAAGTATGCACAACTCTTTATTTTGCATACTTGACTCTTCATGTCGATATTATCATTCAGTTTGACATCCAGATCAATAGGGACATTATGTGACTGTAAACTTTGACAGTTGCAACTGCTTTCCATTGTACAAGATTCATTTATGTGGCTCGTAACTCAAACATAGTCTGGTGACTTCATATTTGTTTGTTCAAAGGACCTATAGGGGAGTAAGGATGGCGCAGTGGTTACTTCGCTCGCCTTCCACGGTTCCACCTCAATGGCCTGCCTGGGTTCGATTAATGCCCTACTCCAGATGTGAATTGGGTTTTCAGTCCTACCTGATTCTGTGGGGTTTTCCTCAGAATATTCTGCTGGGGTTTTCCTCCCACCTCTAAAACTGTCGTTTCTTCTCATTGCCTAGTACCTGGGGCGCTTTTGAGGATTCCTTGGTTTCAGTACCAGAAACATAATAATAATACTAATAATAATTACCGGCAATGGGGTAATAGGGAGACTTTCCCATAGACTTGTGCACAAAAAATTTCCGAATTAAATGTGCCCTAACCCAATATTCTCTTGTCCTTTTTCCACGAATTTCAGTATTTTTACTAATTAGACCACGAGCAACAAATATAACCTAATTTCGACAGCAACATTTTCCTCTAAAGGGGGGCTGCGCCAATAGGGAGACACCTACATGTAGGTGTCTCCCTATTAAGCCTGTGTCTCCCTACTATCGAAATTTCTACGCTAACGTGTCTCCCCAATAGTACATTTAGTAATATAATTATACCAACAACCACAATAGGTGGACACTTCCATAGACTTGTGCACAAAAATTACCCTAGCCCTAACCCTAACCCTTACCTACATGTAAACCTCGTCAAAAATGGCGGTTTTAAGAATAGGTCGGCATTACTACTGTCGCCGTAATAAGGTGTGTCGCCCTATTATAGTAATTTTAATAAAAAACTGTCGCCCTAACCTAGAAAATGTCAATATAATGATAATAGTAATAGTTAAAAGTCAAAATGGCTTACTGAAAAGGGTTGTGTAGCTCTTCATCTCGAAACGGACCCTTGGGTGCCTTGGGGTCTCGGAAATACTCATATCTTGTGTTTTCCTCCCACCTCTAAAACTCTCTTTTCTTCTCATTGCCTAGTACCTGGGGCGCTTTTGAGGATTCCTTGGTTTCAGTACCAGAAACATAATAATAATACTAATAATTATACCAACAACCACAATAGGTCGACACTTCCATAGACTTGTGCACAAAAATAACCCTAGCACTAACCCCTAACCTTAACCCTAACCTACATTTAAACCTTGTCAAAATGGCGGTTTTAAGAATAGGTCGGCATTACTACTGTCGCCGTAATAAGGTGTGTCGCCCTATTATAGTAATTTTAATAAAAAACTGTCGCCCTAACCTAGAAAATGTCAATATAATGATAATAGTAACATGTGTAATTGTTGACATGACAAATCAAAAACAATGTGGTAGGGTTAAAAGTCAAAATGGCTTACTGAAAAGGGTTGTGTAGCTCTTCATCTCGAAACGGACCCTTGGGTGCCTTGGGGTCTCGGAAATACTCATATCTTGTGTGGTTCATGCGCTCGTTGGTTGTCACACCCAGGTAGATCACCTGCAAGAAGAAAGCTTGGGAATTATTTGGATATTGGCTAGTGGGTTTTGTAGAAATTGGATAAATGGGTTGGGTTGGGTTTGAGTGGGGCAGGGGATGTGGTGGGGATGGGGCGGGGTTGTGATATGGGTGGATTGGTTTAGGGTTGGGTTGGGCTAGGACGGGTATGTTTGCTTGGGATAGGACCGGTTGGGTTGGGCTGGGCTGGGTGGGCTGGGCTGGGCTGGGCTGGGTTGGGTTGGTTGGGTTGGGGTGGGGTGGGGTGGGGTGGGTATAGGAGGGTTGGGTATAGTCAGGCATGCAACTGGGAAATCACAAAAAAAAGGAAATTCAAATTTTTCCCAGACTTTGTACAGTGTTTTTCTATTTTCAATGGCACACATGGGAGGTCAAAAAAGAGGAAATCAGCTGATCAGCTGAAAAGTTGCCTGTATAGTGGGGTCGATTTTTTTTGTGCATTCAATAGGGGACGTTGAACGATAGAGGACAATAGGGTCCACAATTCCCGAAGGTCCAAGATTGACGATCATGTACAAAACATATTGGAGGTCTTCCATAAAGTACAAACAAAAGAGTGACAATAGGGGTTCCACGATTGAAGGTGTTTACACACTTGCGTGGGTTGGGTATAGTTGGCTTGGGTTGGGGTGTGTTGGGTTGGGATGGTATAAGTTGGGTTGGTTGGAATGGTGTGGGTTGGTTTTGGTTGGTTGGGTTAGCTTAGGTTGGGGTGGGTTCAGTTGGGTTGGAGTAGGTTGGGTTGGAGCGAGGTGAGTTTGGTTGGATGGGTTGGGTTGGGTTGGACTGGTTAAGATTTCCCTACCTGGTAAAACTGACAAACAAATAGCATGGCGACCCACATCATGTAGACGGCGACCTGCAGACTCAACACAAAGGTCCACGGGGAACAAGACATGACCTCGCCAATGAAAATCCAAAGGCCGTTCTCCCCAAATGTGGTTTGGCAGGACTCTACCCAGACTGTGACAAAAAATAATAATAATAAAATGTGAAAGAAGCTATGCAGAAAATGCTACTTAGCTAAGCTACACTCAACCAAAAAAGAAAGTCCCCCCTTATTACTTTTTTGTCTAACTCAAAAACTACTGGGCACATCTTGCTCAAATTAGGACTGATCAGTACAGAAATTTCTTAGCAATCCAACCATACTCTTTGTTTGGCCCAAAACAGCGATAATGTGTACAAAATTATGCAATTTATGACAAGTGGTACTGAAAAAAAGTTGCACTTTATACGTGCAAGGTGATTGTGAACCACAACTTGCACGTATACAAAAGTGCAACTGTTTTTCGGTATCATTTGTCATAAAATGCATAAATTCGCACACATTATCACTGTTTTGGGCCAAATAAAGAGTATGGCTGGATTGCTAAGGAATTTCTGTACTGATTAGTCGTTATTTGAGCGAGAGGTGCTCAGTAGTTTTTTAGTTAGACAAAACAGTATTGGAAGAGGGGGGCGGGACTTTCTTTTCTGGTTGAGTGTATGTGGTATTAATGCAGCCTAGAATCATGGACAAGCAATATACTTCAATGGCTAAGCAAAAAAAGATAAAGCCTTGCAACAATCAACTTACAAAGGGCGTTACCCATCAGGTAAAACATGCTCGAAATCGGAAGGGCACCCAGGTAAATGATGAAGAAACGATGATTCAAGGAACCTGAATGTAAACATAAAAGAATGGACGATGGTTAATCAAGAACAAAAGTTCACAATTTTTGCCATAAAATTCCCTATAACGTACACAATGGGATCCTCAAAATCATTCGGTGCTGCAGTGGTTTTACCAATTTGGCCACCAATGCTCGGTAAGATTGACAGCCAAAAGGTACAAAAGCATGTTCATTAGAATAAAATAATTTAGTTAAGGTGGATTTCGCTATACAGGCATTCTACTGTACATACATGTATCCTTGTTACCAAATTAATGAATAGCTTCCATCACAGATAATTTTTTTTCACACTTCAATCAATCAATCAATCAATCAATAATGGTTTATTATAATATCCACCTTTAGCGACGCAAGGCCGAATTGTGGTTGGATTTACATTAAAGGGCAATATAAGACATAAGACAAACTATTATACACATGTACGTGTAATGGTACCATTAAGGAGACACGGTATCGTAATTTCTTCGAACGATGGGAGACATCGGTCATTAGGGAGACAATTTCATGTCTCCCTAATGTCACAGCCCCCCCCCCCCCCCCCCCCCCCCCCTTTAGAGGCACAATTTTATTGTCGCAATTAAGTTATATTTGTTGCTCGGGGTCTAATTAGTAAACCTACCGAAATTCGTGGAAAAAGGACAAGGGAATATTGGGTTAGGGCACATTTAAGTTTCAAAAATGTTGTGCACAAGTCTATGGGGATGTCTCCCAAATCTCCAATCCAGGGTTATTATTTGAAGTAAAATGCTTTTTGAAGTATAATGAATAAAACAAACTGATTGACATGCTCAAAAGAAGTTTTAAGTTTTAAAGTCATAACTAAAGAAAACAAAAATTAGGCTGCGTCGAACTGCGAGGCAGCTTGTAAGGCGCACTCCAATACATTACTAGTCAAGCCTGGTTTCTCTACCACACCAATGCGCCCAGCCTGTTACTGCCCAAGTACTCTATGGTTTCATGGATTCACCAGTGAAATAACACAATGTAATACAATGTAGTACAGTTGTAAATGGGTTAACCCAAACAGAACTCAACCAATCAAATCCCAACAGCATGTTTTGTTGGAATCTGTTGGGATGGGTACAGTACCCCTAAACTGACAGTCTTTTACATTGGGTTGGCACACCTCCAGAAACTAAGTCAGAAATATGTGTGCAGTTTTTGATAATGGTGTTGGAATTTGCCAGGATGGGTATGGTTCCTAGTAAAACATGCTAGGAAGTTAGGTTTAAGGATTAGTTTTCCTTCATTTTGACCACTAGACTAGGCTTGACTATTGAGCTGGTCAGTCAGTCAGTTAGTGTCTCAGTACGATGACAATAGACATTTATCATGCTGCCACCATTTCAGTCATGTTCCCTGTATCCAACAACAGTACTGAATGATTTTTTTTTTTGCAAAAAAGGAACCAGATTATTTTTCCTTCCAGCCTCTCTTTGGTTACGTTGATTTGAATGGGAAAAAGTCAAGATGGCCGCAACATGATAATGGTCTATAGGCCAATCCATAAGAACCTGATCACTGTGCAATTGACCTATCGCGGTAGAATCGCATTAGAACCGCGTCAATGCAGCTTGTGAAATATTGTCCAATTACATGATATACAAATGGCCGTGGAACACGCAAAATCTGAGACAAACAAAACTTAGTGTACAAAACTCCATAGGGTTGTCTAAGGGGCGTGGCTAACTCGCAAACGGCGATAGGTCAATTGTTGTCAAACTGCATGTTCAAGACATGCATGGCATACGCAGTGTGCTGTAGCCTTTGTGCATACATGTCAGATAGTAATCACACCTGAGATTGGTCCAATTACTATGGCCCTTCACCAGGCCAGCAAAAAAACAAAAACAAAACACTTGGGGAATCTCACCAATGCAATTGTCTACCCAGGGACAGTGGTGGTCGAATCTTGCGATGCATTTATCACACGTCGAGCAGTGCTTGGATCTGATTGGTCGCCTGATCAGGCAGGTCGTGCAGAACTTGCTGAGGTCCAGGCCTGTCGTCTCTGCCATCTCAACGATTGTCTGAGGAAGAAAAAGGGGAAAAAAACAAAAACAGAATTTATAAGCATGAAAAGCAAATGATCCTACTTGCCTTTAATGGGTGTTTTCCCTCTCTTCAGTGATTGCTTAAAAGACATAAATTTTGATTCAGTGTCCGGAACTGAAAACTCAAAAAGCGGAGCTACGATTCCACTTCCAAGTTGGGAATCAATTCTTTTTGATTCTGAACAGGAGTCGCCCTAGCTTAATTGACCAATCTATCAAGCCCCATCCACTGCCAACATGGGTACCAACATGTGTGCCTCTCCAATGTCACATTGCATGTTCCTGATTTTGCATAAGTTCCAACAATTGTACATTACATAACAAATATAATAGCCCAATAAATACTGGACTTCCTCATATTGTGAGCCACACAGTGGTACGTACGTGGGGAAAAGTTGATTTTGAGGAAATCGAAATCGTGACTGTTTTGTTTTTCACATGATATTCACCATGGAAGGTAATTACCTGGTTGAAATATTAATCATGTTTCTTTTGTGTTTAGTTTGACAGTGGGTTTGTCCAAAACAGATTGCAGTGCTTTTCTCTGGGTCACAGGTCATGTACACTCTCATGTACACTTGACCTTTTGATCTTCTCTGGTTATTAGGCTGCATCCGAATCAACTGCCTAGAGCTAGGTCTAGGTCTGTGCCCATTGAAAATACGCGGGGACGCGCTGACAATAGACGTAGCCGTAGCTCTGGAAGCCCGTTTCGGACACGGCATTAACCAGCTAAAGTACCTTCTGTGGTGAATATCAACTGGAAAAAAAAAAACATTCCCAATTTTATTTTTTTTCAAAATCAACTTTTCCCCCACACATGGTGTATCACCGCTGTGTGGCTCACAATATGGTTAATGGTTGAATGGGGGAAAAAAAACATCAGAGAAGGAGACCTAGGATTGAAAGTTAACTGTCAAGAGCACAGTTAGATAGTGGTAGTATCGAAAACGAAGACCCCTAAAACGATGACCGAAGACCCACTTGAAAACAAAGAACCACTCAAAAACGAAGACCCACTCAAAAACAGGTCTTTGTTTTTGAGTGGGTGTTTGTTTTTCAGTGGGTCTTCGGTTTTAGGTCTTCGTTTTTAGGGGTCTTCATTTTTGATACTACCCTTAGATAGCTCAGTCGCTGTAAGCAAAACGTCTCACCCTTTTCTGGTCTTCCTGCGAGTTTTTGATGACGCCAGGGTTGAACCGCCAGCACTTCCAGAAGCTGTACAACATAGCACCCATAGACAGAAAGTACCCTGCCTTCATCCACAGATCACTGACATGTGTTCAGAGTCAAGGAACCAGACTTACTCTTGATATATTTATCAAAATATGGCTGCCTAACCTATACGGCTACATACATGTACATGTATGTACACTATATCAGGTAAATGTGGCTGTAATAAGCCTTTTCGGAGTTCAAACTGCGCGCATTCGTAACCTGTGACAACGCACATTGTTTGTCTCAAATGCCCTTTGACAGTACCCACAATGCACAAACAGCCTTTTTATAAAGTCAGTGGCGCGATGATGTCAAAGGCCATTTGAGACAAACAATGCGCGTTGTCACAGGTTACGAATGCGCAGTTGGAACTCCGAAAAGGCTTATTGGTAAACTGCTGTATTGGACATAGCACGATTTGGAAAAAGCTTTCACTGTTTGAGCCACAAGAATGTTGTTGTGGCTGTCCCAAAGAAGTACCCTGGGCATACATCATTAGTCGCTAGCTGATGAATCAAACAAAGCCATCTCAGCAGCAAAAGCAATCAAGTGACCGTCTTTGTTTACATAACTATAACACTTGTGTGTATACCGCAACAAAGAACATCTGCCTTTCAATACAACATTAAATACTTGACCTAAATTATGGAAAAATCTACCATTCTCTCTTAGATGTTCAAGGTCATACAATATTTTCATACGCAAACTTAAATTGTACCTTATGTAATGTAATATATTTTATATTTGATGTGTCTCTGTCCTTGGACTTTTTATGGCAATCCTACTCCTAGCCCATTATTACTTTTCATAACTTTGGTAAAAGCTTAGAAGTATACAATGTGTGTAATTATCTTTCTGTAATAGTTTGTCTGTTTTTGTATAATGACATGCCTGATACAAGCTACGCTTTCAAAGTTTTGCCACCTTTACTGGCCTTTATATCTTGTTCAGTACTTACATTTTGAATTGGTCCAAGAGGCATTGTACACTCCTCTTGGTACATAGTATGTTCCTTACTGACCAACTATTGCTTGGCAATTAGAATAAAATAGACTTGCTTGTCTCTCATTTACTGATTGACACTCGATTTGGACTAGTCGGACTATCTCACTGACTGACAGTCCTTATCAATTAGACTGGTTACCTATCTTACAGACTAACTTTCACTTTTGATTAACCTTAACCGCCCTGAATCCTTCAAAATCCTCTTTGCCAAAGTGAAGGAATTTGGAGGATTGAGGTTACATGACAAAAGCGCATTACTGATTTCGTAGGATGCACTTTGTCAAGGTCTTGGGCCGGACCTTGTGTTGTTTTTGCTCAGCCATGCATAAGTATACATGTACACCTGGATTATGCTTGAAATCCTCCGTACTGCTCCAGGATGTCAAATTGACAGCAAGTGCCGCAGGAGTTTGCAGGATTCAGGCAGTGGTCACCCCTCCATGGACCATATTCAAGAAATAATTGATGGAATTTGCAGAATTGAGGCTATGCTATTTTTCCATGAGGCTAATTGAAGGATTTTGCAAGATTGAGGCTACATCCTAGCAAAAAGGCCGAGGGAGTTAAGGTTAAAGACTGGTTACCTACATATTGTTACCTTTCTCACTGACCGACTGTTACTTGTGAATTAAACTGCTCTGGGATGTTTTCAGGCTAAAATTACACATTTTAGGTAGTCCTTTTCGCATCTTGTTTTCACATGCAAAACACAAGTGTTATTGTGATTTTTGTTTTTAAGGCAGAGACAACGGTTTATATTTTATACACTCAGAACTAAGAATCTGCTTACCATGATTACCGGTATGTATGTTTTTTTATCACGTGTGTGAGGTTAATTTCAGACAAGTAACGTTCATAACATAATATAAAATCCTTAACAACAAAAACATGAGGAATCAATAACATCAAAGTAGCTTTTGTAAAATGTTATTGGGATTTTATAGAGTGAAGCTATATAACATGTTTTATTTCATTAAATCCCTGCAAAAACTTCACAGACTTTCATCATTGCATACTAAAACTCAAGACCAGTCTTCATGCGTAACATCTGTAATGGTTGTCACAGCGCTTAGATATATGTATATCTCATTTATTAATTCAGCTATTAAATACTACATTAACTATGGTATCTTTTAAATTAAGGCCCAAGCTAGAGTTGTACATGTACCAAATATATCACATTTGCTCGTAATGCAATTTTTTCTTTGTTGTTTCAAATTGGTCAGTAGGCTCTGAATGTAAGGTCCGTAACAATGGAATTGCCCAATTACAGAAAAAAGGGAGTGGAAGGGTAACAAAAGGATATAAGGCCAGAAGAAGGCAAAATATGTGAAGTTGACGATGACCTTGGTTGCAACTGCCAAAGCGATGGGAAAAAGCTGAGCAGCTCGACTATCGACAAAGAACCTACATGTATGTTTTGAATGAAACACAAAAGGAGAAATCAACTACCTTCTCACAAGTTGTGAAATGTTTGATAAACTCAGGGTATAGTCAATATCAAATATTCACATTAACATTTATCTACAGGCAATAACCAATATAACATTAGTTTAATATTTATGCATACAAAATATTACATGCCATATCAAGGAATCAGGAAAGGAAGAATCATAAAGGCACAGGGAAACCAATGAAGGCTATATGATGTGTTTTGAACCCATTTTAGACAGGTGTTCCACAGTTTCAGTGAACGATTGAGAACAAGTTTCCAGCAGTCTACTGTTAGTCTTGGTCCTAGACTGGATCTGCATTTATTCCCCTGATACACTCATCAGTCCGTGACAAACACAGTAAAGCCGCTGCAGCGTTACAAGTCACAATAAACAAGATGAATCCAATACAGTCTGGGTAACTTCCGCAGCATACCTCGTGCAATTCGCATCAGCTTGGATGCAGCACGCGTAAAGGTAGATGCTCCGAATTTCCTGGGTAGCGCTGCCAAAATTCCTAAGGCTGGATATGATTCATCTTGTTGATAGCGACGTCTACTGCACGTGGCTTTACCACGCTTATCAGTGACAGGATGCACAAGGGAAATAAAATCCAAATCCAAGATCAGTCAACTCTTACCGTAGTGAAAGGTACACAAGGCCAACACTCAACGCAAACAGACCAGCCTTGGTGATGTAGGAAGCGCTGAGATTGGGGATAAACCCCAGGAGGAACATGACGACGGCTGGAATGGCCCACATGACGTATTTCCGTAAGGCCTACGAGTGCAAAAACCAGCACATTCATTTAATAATACATAGAAATGTTGTAGTCCAGAAAATTTCCATAGGTATGAGTACAAGCATGAGAGGGGTAAAATTGCCATAAATAACAGTGGGCAGACCGGCAGCCCGTCACCGAGTTATGGGAAGTTTTTATTGTTAGACAAATTAGGACTAAGTTGTGGGGCTTTTCTGCTGTCCCCATAGTGTCCTCGGTCCCATAATACCATGAACAACACTATGGTTGTCAAGCACGAGTTTGAGGGAATATAGCAAAACTGAGGCCTTCCAAACTTGCTCGCAACGATGTGGTATAATTGCAAAATACTGCCTCATTTAAGCGGCATAATATCATGCAGCTGTTTAACACAGAAACAAAGAGAACGTTTGAGCAACGGCTGGTTACCAGCCACAATTTCACGCAATGTACATAACCTCTGACTGGTGCTCCACTGACTTTTGCTTAGCAACATGTTGAAATATTTTCTGCTATTTTCTGTAATTATGAATATTAACTTTACATGTTTACAACGTCAAAAAGGAATAGAATGCTAAATAAGATTACAAATTTTCCAAAATTTTTACACGAAACATGAATTATAAAAAAGGGACTGACATTCATACAATCTTCCGTTGAGCTAAACATACATAGCCTTAGAAGCACCACAGTGCTTGATTAGGGGGTACACTTAGTTAAGTTTTACTTTTTCAATGACTGCCTGCTATTTATTATGTCAATCATCGTTGCTTTATTATGTCAATCACGCCGGTCTGCAGACATAATGGGCAGGCATCAGACTTTGTGATATGACTAAGCATTTAAACGTTTAATCCTTATTTAAAGTATTTGCTAAATGTTTACAAAATTTAACACAAAGTCTCGCCCTTAGTTCTAACAAATCTAGAGTAACCAAAAACTCACAGACAGACAGATAGATAGGGGAACAAACCAACCTTGCTCCCTTTCTTTGAGCCGTGTGGGAATTCCCCTCGGTGCTCCTTGATACGCATGGCAATGTAGCCATTGCGCCGTGACATCGCTACGTCTAACGGTGTCTCGTGCTAAACAGAGAAAACGATCATATGTGAAGCATTCTAGCTAAATAAGACAGAACTGGGCAGAGGTCGAAATTGGGGTGTGTGGTCTTGTACTTTAATCAGACATTCCGTTGACAAGTTATGGCTGTTATGTGCTTAATTGTAGAACATTTGCAATGTGAGAGCACAACAAATGAGGAAGCAGAGGGTTCGTAAGCATGAAAAATTATTGGAACCAAATATGAGGCATGTGTGTGTTGTTTGCTCAAAGCAAATATAACGCTCATTTTGCTGATTGAGCACTTCTGTTGCGGGTGTTTCCGCTTCATTTTCGCATTGGTTTAAAATAGTGGATATGCCAAGAGCCATACGATGGAGCTTGTTTCTAACGGTTCGTTTCTTATCAAGTTTTTGAAGCAGAAATCTTGTGAAAAATATTGTCTGCAAATTGGCACTCAAACGTACCCGGCTGTTCTCAATGAAGCTATCCGAGCCATGTTGCAATAGCGTGCTGACGGCCGCCGTATTACCCACGGCCGTGGCCCAGTGCAGGGCAGAATTGAGATAATGCTTGTCTTGAAGATTGGGATTTGCTCCCAGAGTCAACAGGAGACGAGTTGGATCAACTCTGAGAGGGAAACAAAAATTGAAGTAAAACATGAGTGAAAATAAATCTGTCACCTCAAAATCATAAGTGGTGGCCAGCTATATAAGTCAGACAAAATCACATGGAAAAGTTAGGCAGCACTTAAAATGACTTGAACAAAAAATAAAAGATTTCGACATCTGTGAAACAGTCTATGCACAGAATTCCTACTTACGAGAACGTCCTATAACATGCCCACATAAGTGGAGACATTCCATTGCCATCCAGCAGATTCGGATCCTGCCCCTTGGCTACCAGGTAGGCTGCGATGGCCGTGTGCCCATACTGGCATGACAGGTGGACCCCACTTACCCCCTCCCCATCCCTCAAGGAGGGGTCAGCCCCGTATTGCATCAGGAGGACCACCATGGGTAGGTGACCCTGCCTGGTGGCCCAGTGGAGAGGGGTTGAGTTCAGGTCTCCGCCCAGTTGGTCAATGACGGCTCCATGGTTGATGAGGTATCTGGTTGAGAAAAAAAAAAGAGGAACAATTTAAATTTCATTCCCTTTAAAAAAAAAAGGAAAGTTGGTGTGGTTTCTTGCTGGTACCATTAAGCCCTGCCAACTGATGTCACAGATGTAGGCGTTAACCCTGGTGATGTCCATCAGGAAGTACAGGATCTTCTTCCACCAGCATTGAGACTTCCGGGAGCATGTTTACTATGCATGGAGTTGATCTCCACAGTCCATCCCTCCCATGTCATGTGTGCCATGTTGTCAATGGTTTGGAGTGGAGCCAGCACCACCGGGGTCTTTCTCCAGCCGCTGTCATCTGGAACCTTCCGCTGGACGTTGTGCTGATCTGATCTCTAAATCCCTGGTGAGCTGCTAAAGAACCATCATGGCCTTGCTGTCCTTCCAAGCGGAGACAACCATCTGGCAATTCTGCTGGGAGTACATGTAGGACGTACAATGTACCTCTCCATACTTTCTTCATCTCGTTCAGTCTGCATCTAAGACCTGAAGGCACACCTCGACTGTTGCATTTCACAGCCCCAGTGGGGTAAGTTTTGTGGGAAAGCAGGGTTCTGGCCAAGGGGATTGATATGTATAGTCGGTATGTTTAGATGTTGCGGAAGTGTGGCCAAGGTGGTGCTTCACTACTGTGGTAGCAATGGATGTCATCCTGGTCTTTGTGCACCAGGGATGCTCCATGAAGTTTAAGATGGCCCGGCTAAGACGTAGATCTTGAAGCCTACCTGGATTGATTTCAGGGGTATGACAAATTTGTTGACTCTGGCTTTGTAGCCACTGTACATTTACTTTGTCACTGCTTCTTCGATCGTCACCTCCCGGATGGCGTTGCAGTGGTGGATGCATCGATGTCAAACCTTGTTGTTCCAAGGGTGGCTGGAGGAGGTACAGCTAGTGGGTGTTTCCTCCAAATTTTTGCTGCCTTGTTACCGATCAAACCTGGACCTTTGTCAGGATCGTGGCATGCCAGGTACTTGTTCATGATGTCAAACTGGTTCCGAGCCATCGTGTGTGGACAGGGCATGGTATGTGGACCGGTATCCTCTGTAGTTTGGCAGCTTGTTGAGACCCATGAGAAAGTGGAGGCCACACCAGGCCTGTATCTCTTGGATGGTGGAGGTCTTATCACCTGCCTCCTTCAGTTCAATTTCATGTTCGTCCAATTGACAATAAATACCATCCAAGACAGGGGGAAGGAGCTGGAGAAAGTGCATGTGTGACTCTCTTCGTCTGAAGGTGGGACCCAGCAGCACAAACACATCAGCCAGAGTTCTCGTCCATCCATGTTCGTCAAGGGGGACGTCTGGCTGGAGCATAGATGGTGGTCTGAGTATCACCCGTTATCCACAGAGCCAAGTCTCCTGTACAACGTCTGATACATGTATGTTTAAACATGCGGATATATGCAAGCCAGGCGCCAGCAAATCGGGGTCGACTTTACTAACTTGTGACGTCATTTAATTCCCATATTAGGACTAATGGTTTGATTGGTCAATTCGAATGCAGTGTTTTCAAATACAACAACAGCTGGGCGCATATTGCGTAACATGATACAGAGCACGTGACACAGGTTTTTTTATATCCATGTCTATGACGCAAAGACGTGAATGACCGAAGATCCGATATAGGAAGCGCCAGCTGATTGGTCAAAATCTAGAGGTCAAGATGCGGTTGTCTTGCATAACTAATCAGCGAATCTGCTCAATTGTAATAGATCATGGCTTTCGCCATGTCTATTACATGTACATAGACTACACAGATTGTGGGTCTGGATCGTAATCCAGTTGTCTCTTTTTGCCTCTGCTGGCCTTCTTTGGAGTTGTTGGTCGCCATTCCGTCCTTCTTGGTGTTGGCTCGGGTATGTCACTTTCCGTCTCGTCTTCTTCGTCCTCGTCATCATCCTCATCCTCATCATCCCCCTCTTCTTCTTCATACTCATCCTGGTCCTCCTCTTCTTCCTGGTCCCCTTCTCCTTCTTCTCCCACCTCATCCTCTGCTTCTTCAAGCTCCTCATCCTTGTGCTCCCCCTCTTCCTGATCCCCATCTTCTTCAGCCTCCCCAATAAGCCAGTTTGGTATTTCAACTGTACATACATGTGCACAATGATATGGGTCACGGGTCATTCGGGATAATTGAACGTTTCGAAGGCGCATGAATGCGGGCTCACGACGCTTGCATGTAAATTACCGTGTGCGTAACATCGTGGAAGATCCTGTCAGCGATGCTATCCCGAATGACCTCTGGTCATTGAAATACCGAACTGGTACCACTTAATTTTGAAAGAGTAATTTTACAGTAAATTATACCTTTAAATGCATTTACATAATGCACACATGTGTTGTAATAAAGTTGGTTCAACAAGTTACGACCACTCATCACCTAAGTCAATCACAAGTCGTCCAGTCTCAATTCAAATAGCATTCTGAGCAAATCAACTGTAAAAAGACATTCCTTCGTCACTGCTCATCCCCTGCTGCATGTACTTGCGAATTGACCTTGTGATTGACTTGTGATTGACTCAATTCCTACTCAATATGAGGCCCTATACATGAGGCACAGCACTCCAATGCTTCCCACTTCTTGTGATTTACCTTGCAATTTCCAGTCTATTGTTGATCGCAGCCCAGTGCAGCAGCGTCACATTCTCCTTGTCCGGTTCCTGTACATCCAAGCCATTCTCAACAAGTTCTTTCAACCGATCAATGGCGCCGTACTGGACGGCCTGGACCGAGTCAAATGTGGAGTAGTCTGGTTTGGATCGGACTTGCTGTTGATGGGGTGATCGACGGTCGGCCGGCAGATGCGCTTCGTTGCTGCTGACCATTAGCTGAGCCGGGGGCATATCGGCTTGGCTGGCCATGGCTTGGGTTGGGTAGGGTTTGAATTCTTCCATTGCTTCTACGAATGAATAATTACAAATGTACATGACGTTTGAAAAATTAATTCTTCAAAATAGTATTATTACTCTATCGCTTTTCAACAAATAACAAAGTGCTTTAACACAATACAAAGAGTGTGGCTACAATATAAAGAGTGTGAGTATGCGTCTATTTCTAAAGTGTTAATGAACTACAAATATAGGCCTACCCTACTGCCTAGTCATGCTAGTCCAAATGTGAAAATCAAAATTTGACAAAGTTCTACACTTTCGGGTGCATGTTCCAGTGTTCCGACTCTTCCGAGTGTGGACTTTTTTTTTAGGAGGTAGGCCTATTTTGGCCAAATTTATGATGCTATGCCCGAACATGCCGAAAGGGTTTATTTATTAATTATTTAAGGCCGTAATTGCTAGATTCAAAATTTGAATCATTCAAATTGAGATTTGATTGAGGCCGACTCACTAAATAACAAAGCCTGGGCCTTCTATAATTTAAAGAAACTGGGCTGGGGGGGGGGGGTTAGCACTTTGTTAATTTGTTAGTGCAGTGACAGTGGTTTTGAAGACATTATTTTAATTTTCACTTACGAATCCACGAATCGATGGTGAAAATTCCGATCAACCATGTCTAGTCTACTGAACACGATCTACAAGTGCTTTTCTACACGTGTGCAAGTATGCTATGACGTCACAGTAATGTGAAGTCGTTTGTATGCGGCCTGTGCTTTTCTTTTTAAAACGTGCATTTCATGTTCTACTGCCCGTCGGATTTCGCCGTAAATTATATTCTTATTGAAATTTTGTAAAATCGTGAACGTTAGCTTCATTCCCAAACTCACCTGCTTTCGGGTAAATTTATCTTCAGTGTCAGCAGAGTCGTTGCTTGAGACGATCTTTATGTTGCGGCAAAATTTCTATTCTTTCAATGAGCTACACTTGCCTTTTGATCGAATGGCGGCGGCCATTTTTTACTTCCGAAACGCGCTTTGGATGATGGGATTACGTCATCAATAATTATGTGCCGCCCTCTTTCAATTTTAGCATTTAATATTTTGAGCTGAGAGCACGGGATGGGTGTGTGGGGTCGGAGAGGAGCAGTTCTTGAGGAGGGGAGAAAATGAAATTACTCTCTTTTTGTATCTCTATCGGTATCTCTGTCAGGAGCAGCTGTTCTTACACATTGCCCCAGCATCCCCCGCCGTAAGAAATACACTGGGATGTACATTCCAGTATATCATGTTTAGATTTTTTTTTTTTTTCATTTTCACACACTGAGTCCGGGTTTTTTTGGCATGCATGCATGAGGAAAGTCGGGGGAACATCGCCGGAAGCCCGTGCGCCACGTTTGGGGACCCCCCCCCCTAAAATTAGAGTACGAAATGATGCATGTAAACAAGCATACTGAGCCCCAGTGTGGGCTTCATTTTGTGCGGTATTTTTTATAATCGGCAAAATATTCTGGATGGTTATACATGTATTTCTTTGTTGTGAACGTAACGTACCAGGAGATGGTTGTCGCCGAATACCGAAAAAATAACGACGAAGAATTTTAAGATCCCAGTATATTCTCAAAAATTTGGATTCAAATCAACTTACATTGCGTATACCCGTGGACGCGCCTTTCGTGCAGTTGTGACAAAAAAAGGGGGGGGGGAGATCTGAATTATTATAAACGTGTCACGCTGATCGCCAGCACAGTCGGCCCAGTACAGTTCCTCATGCTGGTCATCAGTAAACCCGAAGTGCCGTCCAATATATGCCCCAGTAGAACATCGTCAAACTACCAAAACTGTAGTCAAGGGCAGGGCCAATCTACCGAACTAAAGTTCGACCGTGACTAGTTGTCCAGACTGGCATCTCAGACTAGTCACAAAATGAAAGAAGACCTTGAGATTTGAATATCCCTCAAGAAATCTTTAGTGCTATGACGTGTCTACACAGACAGGTAATGTGGCTGATTTGTTTTTATTTCCTCAGATTAGACTTGCTCCAACTTCAAATTTCCCACTTTCCTTGCAGATTAATAAGGCCGCAAATGTAATTCCAGTTTTAAAAAAATGGACTCATGCAAGAACTGATATATATGCTACAAAGTGTGCCAAAAAATGTGATGTCACCAACTTCAATGCCTATTCAATGCTTAACCCAGATTCTGCAGCAGGTGACAGTGGCCCAAGTAAATTTTACACCATTTCACTTAGTTGCATTTCTGGATCTAGGGACCCAGTGGAATGGGGTAAAAAAAGAGTGGATTGAGAAATAGTCGGGTTTTAATGTAGTACATGTATTTACTTTCATTGAAGACAAAAACATTAAAAAGTTTTCATTATTTGTTTTCTGAATGTTGCACTTTTTGGCACACTCTGTAAGTGGCGCTACTCAAACATGTCAAAAGCACACATGATTAATGCATCATTGCCTGACATCACGAGTGCAATAGAAGTGTTGAGCACAGCCACTTACAAACTGATGCATCATTCCTTGGCATCTTTCCACATCAGGAATACACCTGTGCAAAGAAGATCACTGGCAATCTGAAGAGTCCTTCAATACACTACAGGTATGTTAATTTTTTTTTTTTTTTTACCAATTAAAGGTTGTTGTTTTTTTGGTGTTTTTTTTTTTACCACTTGGAGGTTTTTTTTACCAATTGAAGGCATACTTCTCCATGGGGCCCAAAACACGTTGACACATACAAGGCTTTAGTTTATGAATAATAGCTATAGAGGGCTTGCACAGAGCGCCCTCACTGTTGACAGGTTGTGTTTCAAATTTGTGACAATGAAAAACACAATTACAAGTTGTGTCTACTCTATAAATCACAATGAACAAAGATCTTGACCTTTCCACAATGAAAGCGCTCTCTACAAACTACTGTATACATTATGTGAAGGGTAATGTATCGTGGACTACATCACCAACAGTCACCTCAATTGCTAAAGTTTATAAATAAACATAACTAAAATTCACAAACTACAGCACTTTTAATGTTAATTCTAATGAAGTCAATTTTATTGGAATATTTTCTTTTAAACTATAAAGAAACAAAAAAGCTTGGTCAATTCAATACAATATATTAACTACAAAAATAAAACTGCATTGAAACACTATGCTGGAATAAATTTTGCAAAAACAATGTTAGTGCCTAAAATGAAAAAAAAAATGTACTTTAGGTTTTATCAAAGTTGCGTAGTTAATATTTATTCTAATGAAATACATACATGTATACTTTTTGTGTATGATTGTTATATGGCTCCATTGTGCTTCTAATTGTACATGTACAGTCTATTCATACACAAAGCAATCATTTGCAACACACGTTTTTAGCTGGATTCAAGGCATAGCATTGAATTTGTGTGTTGCACAAATTTTGTGACCATTTCATGAATGAAATGACAGAATCTACACCTATAGTCTTGTAATGAAGAAATAGAGAAAACAAAAATTACACAATAATATAGAACTGGGTGCTAAACATATCAACATATCATATTGGTCATCTCCACACTCATGTGCAGGTAATTTTCAGAATGCAACATGTACAGAGTATATGAAAAATACACCTTGATTTAATTTCTGAAACTAAATTGGTACCCTTTAGGAACACCACAGAAAGTTATTGATTAGCCCACATTTAAAAATACCAAGATCAGGCTGTGGCTAAGATTGTGGACTACAAGTAGGTGAAGTTTGTGCAAAAGGAGCATCATTTTGGTGAACTAGTGATTGTTATTTCAGTTGGTGAGCAATGCTGCTGATAAAAAAAATCATCTTTTAGATCACAAATTCCAACTCAGCATATTTTTGGCAACTCTGTATGACACACAGTAAGCGTGGTATAACCTACAAAATTGCCTACTTGCAACTTTAAATCAGTGCTTAAAGCCAACAGGATCATTTACAATTACCTGGAAAATACCTACATGAACCGATTCAAAGACAGACGGAAACCTTGCTCAAAATGAAGATCATAGGACTGGTATCAAATACTCTGTGAAAATATTCCGCCAGAAACAGTATCATTAAAAAATGATTTTTTTTTTAAGTGTGTATGTGGGCACACTTTTTAATGAATAGTTATATGATTAGTTAATGTAGTACCCACTCCTATGTATATCTGATTTGATCCGTTAGCTTGGTGGTCAAGTGGTAAGACATCTGCACTAGAAAGCAGAAGGTCGTGGGTTTGAGTCCCACCCGAGTGATTTTTTTCCCCAACATTCACTCGGGAGGTAACACACTGAGTATACAGTGTTTATACGTCGGTGAAGGGAATTTGACACAATTTTTAAGTGCGATCCAATTACGATCGCAAGACCCTAACAATAGTGCATATACATTTTCTGTTTTCTGAAAAATGTACAGCATCTACTGAGCTGAAACGTCAACAAATTACCTGTAAATTATGCATCCTACTTAAGACTCTGAGCAATTGTGTTACTTTATTAAACGAAAGTTACAAAAAGCAAATGATCCTATAAAGCTTTAACAACATTATTGGATAATTACTCCCCAAACATCTAAAGCAGTCATGTGTGTGCGTCTACAAATATTCATGGTTAAGTTAATTTCATTTGATAGACCATATTACCTTTTTAAGGTTTATGTATTTAATAATAATAATAATAATAATATTGGACATTCATAAAGCGCAAATATCCACCGTGAGGTGCTCAAGGCGCTATACATAATTGTATACAAGCAAAACAGCAGCAAAAATAGGTAAACAAAATCAATATGAATTAATAAATAAACTAAACAAATTTTACAACATAACATTTAAAATAAAATGAAAAATTGTTAATGCTTAAGAAAAAGCATAGTATTATATGATTGTACACATACAAGTAGTTTCTATGCTAGTTTAAAGTTAATCATGAAAAAGAAGTTTCTCAACTTTTTAATTATAATTAATAAACAGAAAAAGTTTCCTACGTTTCCCAAAAATATAATTTTGACTTGTGGAAGACTTGTTTGTATACAAAAATAAAGAATTGTTAGTTATCAAGGCAATCTCGGAATCAATAAATGGAAATGTTTGATGATGATAGTTTTAGAGAAAGTCCTGAAGCTCTGAAAATCAACTAAATCTACCTGGGATACTCAATTGTAGGAGTGTGGAAAAATGTTCGCCAAAATGTTCCTATTAACCCTAACTTCCTACTGTCTTTTACTAAGTACTGGACCAAGTCCGCCAAAAACCACCACTGGCCCTATTTCACATGCTTCAGGACCAAAATCTACCACAAGACCACCACTACTATCACCGACTATAGGTGGATTTTGATGGACTTGGTACAGATGGCTTGTCTGCCAAAATTCCCCCATAGGCGGGATGGATTTTGATGGAGTTCAGAAGGTTAGGGTCAAAGCCACAGACACTAGTTTCACCCGTTGTTGTAGCATTCTTTCAAGAAAGGCTCATTCTTACAAGTGGGGATTCTGTCTGAACTTTGTAAAATTTCAGAATTCTGAAAGGTGATCCTAATTAACTCAGTGAATATTACGAATCTACAGATGTTTGATTAGAAAACTGAAAAAAAAGCTAAAAATGGAATGAATGTTTTGGAAATGAAAGACTGATGAATAACGAGGTAAGTCTTTTAGTTCAGACAAGAAATGTTCAAATTAAAGCACAAAAAAATGTGTATGCTCATCAAAGTGTAATGTTTTAAAAACATTTCTTTAGGAAAAACTTAATTACCCTTCATAAAATAACGATAATGAGACGTTTCAAACACCAAGGTTTAATATGTTACTGTTAGTTGTTTTGTGAGCTGTTTTATCCTCAGAAAAATTGTCAAATTTACATGCCTACATGTATAACTTCTAGCCTTTTTAAACATGTACATAACTGTACACTAATCATGGATTATACTGTAGCTAAATAAACAACACAAATCATTTCCCTCGTTGCAACAAAAACCAAAAAAAAACATCTTTGGAATATTTATTCAAAATAAATCTAAATGACTAAATTCTTTACCCATTTTCAGACTTCATGCAGTCCACGTATATAGACATAAACACTTATCTACAGGAACCTTCTTTGTATTTAATCTGTCAAGTGGCATCGAATCCCATGTAGCTTGGCTCTAGCTTCCTTCATTCTGCAAATAAATTCTTGAAAACCTTCTGCTGCACTTTGAAGGATTTAGGTAAGATTAGGCCCCCCCCAAAAAAAAGTAGTCGGTCTCTGATCAGCGCCTGCGTCGATTTTGATCATGCGCGTCAATCTTTTTTTTTTCTTCAAATTTTCCGCAGTAGCTTCAACAGCGATCTCTATTGCCGCACCACCTCAAATTTTGGACCAAGGAGCACAAAGAAATGGGGAAATTGCAAACAGGCAAATGATGGAGGACACCAATGTATATATGAGGACATATGGCTGTACAATCCAAGCTTGAAAAAAAAAAAAAAAAAAAAAAAAAATTTGCGCATTAATTCCGGAACTTTGGTCTGACCAGAGATCGACTATTTTTTTTTTTCTGGGGGGGGGGGGGGAGGGGGCCTGAAGATTACAGGTTTATTTTAATGATCGACTCTTTCCCCTTATTCATGTTATTACATGTGCATGTATTAAATTTAAGCCCCTCCCCATCCTTTGTTTTCAATCATCAAGTGTTAGTGCTACGTGGGTCAATCTATAAAGTTAGGGTTCACTCCACGTGTGAAAATGTCACTGTCCCTGTTACCTCTGCACTTTGTAAACTGCCATTCAAGTGTCATTACAAATGATTTCAAACTGATCTTTATTTCTTGGGAAGGCTGTTTGCTCCACATACGTCATGAAGGAAGAATATTTTCACCCCAACGATCCCCAAGCAGCCAAACTCCAATACCCGGGTTTGTTGCAATCTGTTAGGATGAGTACTGCACTAGTGAACTGACTGTACATGTGCTTTACGATGGAATTAGGCATACAGCTGTTTATGTGCACCTGTTGGGATTTGCAAGGACGAGGAAGGTTCCTAGTATCGTCCTTAACTCAATGAGTGACTTAAACCTTCCTTGCTATTGCAAAATCCAACACCATATGTGATGCGATCAAGCTAAATGAGTCGTTGGTCGACCCCCCATCAAATTTTTTTTTATTACAGATTTGAAAAGAGCACAATCTCAGCATTACTGCTGTGAAAACTGCACGCTGGTACCCTCTGATCTTTAGTTCAAAACTTATGGAAGTCGGAACACCAAGAGATGTGATGAAGTGATGTGATGAAGTGGCCCTATTTTGGCCTGTATCTCCAAATGAAAATTCCCGACAAACGACTTGTGTAGCTTGATCGCATCACATGGTAAGTCAACAACCAAACTGTTGGGATCTGATTATGGTGGTATACCTAACTCCATGTAAGCATTAATCAGTTTAATAGTGCAGTACTCACTCCAACATATTCCAACAGAATATGCAGTTGAATTTTGAAGGGTTGGGGTGGTAGGGTTAAGGAGTGCATCTAGAATTACATAGATATCAGATGTAACAGGTACAGGAAAAACATGGAATAGAATGAGTCGCATCTGAATTTCTTGGCTACGACTAGTATAATACCGGAGTCTTACATAGCGCACGTATCTACCAACATTTAGGTACTCCAGGCACTGGAAATTATGTCTATCATTCAAGACAGGGAAATGAACATTATGAGACCCATTATGTAGCACCTTATAAGCATGGGCGTCGCCAGGTTTTTTTCTAGAGGGGGGCAAAAAAAACTTTTTTTGCCAAAAAATGCTTGTATTTCTCAACACATTCTCGATTTATCAGTTTTAGAGGGGGGCAGGGACATTTTGCCCCCCCCCCAACTCATTAAACTTACACCACTTTGTCTTCGCGCCTCTTTTTCTTTTCTTTATTTTACTTTTCTTTTTTCTTCCTTTTTTTTTGGGGGGGGGGGCTTTTCCAGGGGGGGGGGGGGCAAGTGCCCCCCCTTGCCCCCCCCCCCTCGCGACGCCCATGCTTATAAGGGTTTACAAGGTGCTGCACATGTCTACAGACACACATTAATACCAGCCAAAGCCAAAAAATATGGGTGTAGCCCTACACTGTAAATGCCAAGCAGTATATAAACTTGCAAAGATTACCGTCGATAAATCATGATCACTGGTAAGCAGTGGCAGCTTTACTCGGTGTTAACAAGGGTACCAGCACCACCACCAAATCCATAACCCTTGGGCCCGAACTTCTTGCCGTAACAAGCTGTATAAATAAAAATAAAATGGACAAATAAAAAAACCTAATAATGATATATGTACAGAGTGAATTACTGTTTTTGTTATTCTATATTTTTTTGTTGGGGGGGGGTTCACTTGGCCTTCTAGCTGTACTAATTATGACGTAGGTTCGAATCCAAATAGATTTGATGTCTGGACTGGAGGGTGATTAACATTTCAGACCAATATACCTCAAATTTTCAAAATCCCCAAAGTGACATGAACATTGTCTTCAAAAACCTTGATCCACACTTGCAACAGAAAACTGAGCCTTCTGTTTTGGAATGACACTTGAGATGTGTGCCTCGTGGTTCAAACATAATTCAAGTCATTTTGAATGTTAGCACATACATGCAAGCGGCCGCCCATTTTTTTTGGGGGGGGGGGGTTACATTTTTAACCCATGTGCACTTGCACTACAATGTGTTTATTCACTGAAGAATCAATAAAACCATAGAGTGTTGTCGGGCATGTTTCGGGCGCAACAGTGAGTAATAGGCAGGGCGGTTTCGAGCGCTACAGTGAAAGGCTAAACAGAGTTTGTGTCCAAGTTTGACCGAGGCTGAGCTATCATGTGTGGTCACCTGACCAAACATAGTGATCTAATTGGTCAATGCACACGTTTTGTTTGACTGTCAGGGAGGGGTCTATTGATGAGTAGCCAGGTCTTTTAATTTCTGCACAGTTTAAGTTTTGCACAGGCACAGAGAAAAAAGAAATTCCCCGCCTATTCTGTTAAACTTACACTTGCAGTAGATCTCGCCCTCTTTATCGCACATGGTAGTGGAGTCCAGTTTTTTGTTGCATGTGATGCAGTTGAAACAGCCTTTATGCCACGACTAAACGAGAAAAAAAATCAAGCATTTGAATAAAACGTAAACTGTGAGGCCAAAATCCATTACCCTTAGAAAACCAAAAGGCCAAAAATATCGGTCCGCATTACATCGGTCCACATACAACCACATTAAGCTTTATAGTTTAATGGTGAAAACTTGAATTTAAAAGATCAATTCCAACAATTTTGTTCAACAACTTTAATTTCATGTTTCTGGGGAAAAAAACTCTAGAAATGTTATGGTATGTGTCTCTTGCGAGTAGTCGTAAACAATTCCTTATATGGAGATGCGTTGGAATGCAAACTGGAAGACTGCCACAACCAAAATTATGCAGCATCACCGTGACATAAAATGATGTATGAGTTGTGCAGGATTCCACGACTTTTCTGACTTTTCATGATCACTATAAATTGTAGGACTTTCCAGTATGTCTCCATGACGGTGGAAAGAAAATGCAAGGGTAGATTTCCATGGACGAAAAAAAACCAAACCGTATGTGTAAAATTAGATTTAACCATCACTTACCTGGCCAGCACCAATAATCTTTTCAGCAGCATACACTGATTTAGAACAGCGAGGACACTTGTCTGCACCACCAAATCTGGATCCACCTGCTGCTCCTTTGCCAGCCGGCTGATAGGCCGTCTCACTTGTTGGCTTACTCCTAAAACACATGCAGGGGACACATACAAGCACGATTGTTTATGGTGTAAATCAAAGATTTTCTTTTGTTCCTCTTCCCTTTTACTTTGTTTGTAAGTAAGATTTGAGGCTTTGCATGGTGGAGATACTAAGTAATGAAAGGTTTGCGGAAACACAAACCCGTGTTTCTTTTCAGAACCATTCTCGTAGTTGAGAAATTATTCGCACGTGGTGTTTCCGCAAACCTTTCATTATTTACTTTGTACTTTTTTCGCAACAGCTCTCATTGGTTTCGTACATGTTTTCCAACCGAGGAGTCCTCGATTTGGTTTCTGTCCTCGATTCATCAATGATGTTGCACGTGTGTGTCCTCGATTAACACCTTAAACAAACAAGCAAACACACAAAGACATGCCAAGACTGTTTATGGTGTAAAATCAGGATTTCCTTTTGTTCCTCATCATTGATGTTTTGTTATACAACATTTTGCAACAGTTTCCATTCATTTTGTACACAATTTCTAATCAAAGTCTTCCTCGATATGACCTGTCCTCAAATATACTCGCGATGCTTCACATGTGTGTCCTCAATTTACACTATAGACAAACCCTGACAAAAATACCTCTTTGCAAAACCTCATAACCAAGTCGTGTTAAAGAGGTTGTGGAATGCTGAAAGTCGTTTTGTTTTTTATATTTTTTTTTTGTAGAGTAGACCCATATACATGTATATATCAAAATGACAATGTGCCATTCTTTTGTCATGTGCGTTTATATGTTTATAAAACTGAAACTCATCGAGTAATTTGTTGGTCGTCGAGCGCATAATCGAAATCAACAGTCGTCGGGTTCTTCGTAAAATGAGAAAAATCATGACGTAATAAACAGGACTCGTTTATACTACGCTGCATCGGGAGTCCTGTTTATTATGTCACGATTTACTATGTTTTGTTTGCTGCCCCCAACGACGACTTTTACACAAACTGCCCGTTCAGGTCGAAGCAGGACCTGAAGAACAGCTCTCAAAAGTACCTTTTGTACTCATTTCATGACAGACACAATAGTCGTTTTTATTTCATCATACCTTAGGCTACATATACCCGACAAATGACGGAAATGTCTTCGAGCATTCCACAACCTCTTTAATAGTCTCCTCAGTTTCCCACATTTGCTCACATTTGCTCACATTTTGACACTTCTGATATGATGACTCACCACTTTAAGGCCAGGACGACGTAATTCATTTTCAGCTTTTAAAATTTTGGTATTGACAACTAGTGTTGCAAATAAAATACTCCAAATTGATCCAGAGTACACTTTTGTTAGAAGTGCTAGCAGTAAAATGGACTCTGCATTGTTTTCGTGGTGTCATTTTAGTTCTACAGCAAAAAAAAACTTATCATGTGAATTACGAATTATAGTGGCCACTTCGAACACCTTGACTGCAAGTACACACATGTACATTTTGTACAAACTGCTCAGTCTCCTGGATGTCAGAGGTTTGTTCAACTCTATGAGTGGCACCAACATGCTTTCCTATAACACCAGATTGTAAATAGGCCTAGTGGTTGTCTGCAGTTGGGTTTTTTCCTCTCTTTTGTCTATTAGTTAACCCTGCGCAGAGTGACCTGCTGCCCTTTGGGCCCCAGGTAACCAAATTTTTTTAATAAAAAAAAATTAGGGCCAATAACGTTCACCTCCTATCTAATCCTCATTCAACCCTTGCCAAATCAGCTGGTTCAATGAACTTTGCAGCCAGGGCTACACCCAGGCCGTGTCAACAAACTTTCAACCAGGCCTCCTGCCAAGTCTCATTGAAACATCAACAAAGACCTGTAACTTGACACAGTCATCTCCCTTCATAACTGCATACCACAGCCGCCAGTCAATTATCTTTCCAGCGCACTGTCTGGCAACTGTCTGGACACTGTCTGGCACGTGGCTTTTTGTTGTATTGCTATGAATAGGGTCTTGCGTAGTGTGGGAAAGTACCGAGTTATTGCAAAGTTATTTTGTAAACGCTGCGCAGGGTTAATTTTTTGTAGCGTCATGAGTGCCTATTATTATTAAGTGGATGTGTGCACTTTATAAATGTTCATTATCATTATTATTATGTACATGTACAGTACAATGTGGTTCCCTTACTTTATGTACAGTACATCCCCCATTCCTAGATTAAGACTTTGTAGTGATTTTTGTGCACAAAGATGACGTGTCATATTATTTTTCTCATTGCTGAACAAAACAAATTTGCAGATAGAGATTGCACAAAAATACACCATGTGTTTATAACGTGGTTTCCACTTCCCGTTTCCAAAAATCAATGAACTATAAATAATTTCCACCCACTGTCTACTTTAAGCACTTCCTGCTTCAGGAAACTGTCGTATTTGTTTTCATTCTGTTTCAGATTTCAGGCAAAGTCTGTCGGAATGCCAACTATTTCTTAATAAGTCCCAAACTGATTGTAGTCAGGAGATGCTGGAGAATGTTACAACATGAACAAGTTCTTGTTTCTTGGTTTTTGGACTGCACACAATTCAACTTGTAGTATTATAGGGTTTATTGGAACCAAGACAAGATAAGTTTGCGGTAGCACCATGTGAATAAATCTCTTTTGTGAGTATGTGTGTTTCTGAAAAGAAACGGAGGGACTCAATGTTTTGAACAGTATGCTCTGCCTGTCGTCAGGAGAATGAGGGATTCCACCGATGATGCGATGTTATAAGGATGGGTGCGGTGAGGCCTCACCGCACCCATCCCTATAACATCGCATCATCATCATCATCGCATCATCATCATCATCATCATCATCATCGCAAACTTATCTTGTCTTATTATCTTTCCACCATGCAAACCTTCAAATTTTATTGGGACCAAAAACATTTTAGGGATGCTCGACAGTACAAGTCCCCACTACAACTGGTCCAATTTTTGAAAAATTAAGCCTTTCTCATGCTGTCCTTACAATTCATCCAGCCCCCATTTCAAGTGCACAAAATCTGTCCAGAGTTCAACCTTTCGACATGTTGAAGTCCGAGCCTAGCGCCACTTGGATATAGGGCGATGGGGATGTACAGATCCTCACATTTGGTAAGGTAGACCAATCTCGATCCAATGAAAGGTTACACTCAACGAAATCAGTGCACCGGTGCACTGCTCGTACTTTGTTGCATCTTAGAGAGGCACAAAAATACCACGGTATTCGGTATTTTTCATTTGGTACTGTTCAGTACATAACAAAATATTGCAACTACATTTGTAATGGTACTGTCGAATCTCGTTAGTACAAACTCTGTTTATACAAAACTCTGGTTATAACAAACATAAAGCCTTAGTCCCGACTGTGCATTTATGTGCACAATGAATGGGACTGATGTTCCTCTTAATACAAAATTCTGATATGACAAACAATTTGGCTAGGTCTGAACGAGTTTGTATTAACGAGACTCGACTGTATTACTAACATATTGCCCAAGCCTAACCACCATCACTACATAGGGAGAAGTGGATACAGGCAAAATACGCACCCAACAGCGCCACCAGTGCTGAGTACACCAGCTCCACCGCCATAGCCGTAGCCCTTGAGACCAAAATTCTTGCCGTGGCAGCCTGAGCAGTAGAGCACGCCCTCGTGGTCCTTCACGGTGAATGAATCCAACATCTTGTTGCAGTCCTCTTTGAACCGCAAGGGTGGGGACAAGACAGGGTTGGGCAAAGGGGAATTTAAAACAACAAATTATACAATTGGTACAAGTGTCCTGTGTTTGGGTTTTAACCCTTGCTCTTTTGGTACAATTTTTCGAAAGTCAGGGAAGAGCCAGGAGCTGTGCATGGATGCTAAAGCATACTTTAGCTAATAGTCTGACAATTTGGGACTCTCAATACTGTGTATGAGAGTATGTGCCTATCATTTCCCCATACATGTATGTACGTCGTGTACATTATCATAGAGCAGAATTACCATTCATACATATGAATAATTAATTAGCCATAATTCCAAAACCCTTTGCCCTATAGTCATGAAATTTCTTGGGTATGCTCATGATGAGTTGCTCTATGCATGTCCCGAGTTTAAAGTTTTTTTCGTCACTCGATGGTCGAGATCTTAGGGGGGGGGGGGAATCCCCCCCTCAACCAGTGTGTCAGTGGTGGATTCCATTATGTCATGTACAGTTTTGTATTAGACGCACAGTGATAGATGACTCTTGATGGAATTGGTCCAGTTCCTAGTAAAAGACGCTTGGGAGTAAGGGTTAAAAGAAATTGTCTGTAGTTTGCCAGGAAACTTGTACTGTGGCAGATATTGAAGGGGAGTACAAAAATCTACATTATGTTGGCAATGAATTAAATTGGAGGTTGCAGCAGAGCAAGTGACATTACAAATTTATCAAATACATGTACATGTATGCGTTCAACTTCCAGTGGAAAATTGTCATTAATACGCAAACTTCATTCAACCTCAACAAAATGTACAAACGTGTATCCAAATATAGCAATTTAGCAGGACAGGAAACAGGGTCAGGCATGGTCTGCAGACTGTTGTTGGTACTGATAGACTATGGATAACAATGCAATGAAAGTACACTCAGTTTGCCTTACCACATTTGACACACATCTTGTGCCATTTCTTCCCGGCAACCACCATTTCTTCGGCAAAGTACACAGACTTTCCACATTTTCCACATTTAGCAGAACCTCCCATGTTAGGCATTATGACGAGATATCGGCAACTACAATTTCTGTGCAGAGCAAAAAACAAAGAAAAATCTGTGATTTCATAACATGATTTCATGTATTTATAACTGAATATTTATTCGTCAACTCTTCGACCAGTGCATCATCCCAGTTTTAACATATGGCGCTGAGGCTTGGGCACCTTCAAAGAAATCAGAGCAAAAATTGCGAGTCAACGTACGGGCAATGGAAAGGATAATGATTGGGGTCACAAAGAGAGACAGAACAAGGAACGAAGATCTTAGAAGAACGACAGGGGTGCAAGACATAATAGTTGAGATCAAAAAGAAAAAGTGGAGTTGGGCAGGACATGTCATGAGAAGAGACAACCACAGATGGACCCTGAAAGTAACGGATTGGACGCCATTATCATTGAAGAGGCGAAGAGAAAGACAGCCTAAGAGATGGCGAGATGAAATCTCTGATTTCATAGGGAAGAAATGGAAACAACTGGCAAGGGATCGAAAAGCATGGAAAGTTAGTGGAGAGGCCTTCATCCAGCAGTGGATTGAATTAGGCTAATGATGATGATGATGATGATGGTGATTTGTTTGTAGACCAAGAACGTTGCCAAACTTTTCCCGGCCCCAAACGTATGAACTTCCAAACTGGCAAATTAATAGACGAATTTCACCAGAATTTCCAACCAGAAACTCACACTCATGCCGAGTGTGAGTCCAAAACTTAGATTTCCATGATTTTTTGTTTTTAAATGCCAGCAATAACCAACCTTGTGCTCACTTATGGCCCTTAGCACAGAGTTTACTACAGTATACTGTGGCCAGGAATAGAATAGGGCTAGGCAGTCAACCTTCCTTCCTTCCTTACAAGTGCTGCCTTCATATGGTTGAAGATACATGTAAACGCACTGCCAGAAACATCAAAGCAAACCCCTTCTCTTAGCGATAAGTGTTACTGGGTTCTTTAACGTGCATTACACAACACAACGCATGGGACCTACATGTACGACTTTACGTCTTATCCAAAGGACGAAGCAATAATGGTTAAGTGTCTTGCTTAAGGACACAAGTGTCGAGACCGGGACTCGAACCCACACTCTGCTGGTCAGAAACACCAGCAGAGCCAGCGGTGCTCGTAACCGCTCGGCCATATGACACTCCATGACAGGACACTCCACAGCAGGGCACTCCATGATAGGCAACCGTCTGGTTGCCTGACCTAATACTATTCAACGTCAGGATCTTTGGCTGTTGGAACCAGACTATCAACTGAATGGTTCTCGGACTTTAGTTCCTTGTTAAAAAGAAAATGCTCCAATTGCACAGACAATGAGTTAATGACTGATTACAACATTTGCACAAAGAAGAAAGAAATGAGATCTACTTACATGTAAATATAAAGAAACATTCGATTAAAAACAAACAAGTAAAGAAAACTAGGAATAGGACTATTATTGATAAATGACGTTAAATATTATAAATTAAAAAAATTGAAAAAAGCGCAGGCTGCGTAGCACGAATTCTATCCCAGAACCATTGGCAAAATAGTCGGAAAGAATGCTGCATTCTGACCCCTCTTTTTTCATCATTATTTATCTCAGCAATGCAATGAAATTCAATCATCATCATGGCAATGAAGGTTAATCATTGTGTTGAAATTAAAGACATGAATCTGGGGGGTAATCCTGATCTTTAGGACACCTCTATTTTTTACCAGTTCTGTTCAAAACTGACTTTTGCAGGCTGAAGCAGTGTATATAAATCTTCAGATAAACTCATGATAGTTGTAATTTTGAAAGCACTCTCAAAGAAAATGTGGCTATCCGACCTTTTTTGCAGTTCGCCATCTTGCCTTTTTAGCCTATTTTCTGTTTGTCATCGTCGTCTTTTAGTTTTACCCCTTAATTTCCCTCATAAATCAAAGCCCTGCCCTCTTTCCACAAAATTAAGTGTGATATTCAAGAAGGTGTCATAGCCAACTGTTCAAATGTGTCAAGAAATATCAGAAATATCACTGTTGAGTGTCATCTAGTCAGCTGTTTTGGCGAGTCTTTTAACCTTATTTAAGAACAGGGTCCTAATTAATTACCAATCTGGGATCCTGGCCAGACATGTCCGGAAACTGGGCAGCGGTTTTGTGTACACGGGGTGTACACCATTCGCTCAAATACGTAGGCATCAGGTCAACTCGGACCCAAACCAAGTCGGACCCATGCCAAGTCGGACCCGCGCCAACTCGGACCCACGCCAACTCGGACCCACTACCATCTCGGACCCACGACCAACTCGGACCCAAGACCAACTCGGACCCACTACCAACTCGGACCCAAGCACAACCAACTCGGACCCAACAATGACTTAATCATTAGTTTCAGAGATTATATTTATAGGTCATCTTAATGTTACAGTGCTTATATAGTGAAGATATTTTGTAATGATATTGGTCAGAATGGGGCTTTTAGTTTTGTTGTTTGATTATACTACATTGATTTTGCTCTCTTATTACTCATACACGTGAAGAAATGGATATCTATGTGCAATGTTTTCCTTTTTCATCTGCTTTTTGTGTGTGTGCCAAATAATAAACCAAATTAAATCACACTCAATGAAGGATTTTAATATGTCACAAAAATTTTGTTCAGTGAGGAAGTTATAGGCCTTTCATTTCATGTAATTGTTAGTTTTTTAATTGTTTTTTTTTACGAATCTGTTTAACTTGTTATACTTTTTTGATTAACTTTTTTCCCCAATGGAACATCATAGTGGAACATACAGGCAGCTACCTGTAAGGCCTTGAAGGATAATCTTCCCAGAGCTCCAATACTCCTTTCTGATGATTGACATTTCATAATTGTAGGGTTTTTAATAAGTTGATTTTTTTTTTAGTTCACATGCTGGCTTTGAATTTTGTGTTTTTTTTACAAATCTGTGTAACTTTTTTGATCAACCTTTTTTGTTCAATATGGAACCGTCATTTTTCTTGCAGTGTATACAATGGTGTTTATGTGGTTATTTTTTTTAAATACATGTACATGTAGAGATTAGAATAGACTTCGTTTTTATACCTTATTTATTTTATTTAATGACTTATAATGTTTACTTATATTTATTGAGTTAATAATGTCATGTTTGGAAGTGTTTATGTTTCAATGTCATACTTTCCAATTTTATTTTTCTATGAAGATCTGTTTTGAATTTATGTGGTTTGAATTAAAAATGAAATGTTAAATTGAGCAAGATGGCGTGAACGATGTCAAATATGAAAATGATTAATTGGTTAAACTTTCATTTTAATTACTTTTGGTTAAAGCGCAATATGTTTCAATGGAAACAAATAATAAAAATAAATAATTAATTACACTTTTAAAGCGCATTTCAAAATAGCATTTCAATGCGCTTTACGACGACAAACTGCTGCAATACAGATATTTTACCTGACAACTACAATGAAAATTTATACTTAACAGCATAACTGTATTAACAGATGATAAGTGGACAAACTTTATGAAATTGTCGAATGATTGAAAACGCTGTCAAATGATTGTAAACGATGGGTCCGAGTTGGTCATGCATGGGTCCGAGTTGGTAGTGGGTCCGAGTTGGTTGTGGATCCGAGTTGATAGTGGGTCCGAGTTGACGTGGGTCCAAGTTGGTAGTGGGTCCGAGTTGGCATGGGTCCGAGTTGGCTTGGGTCCGACTTGGTTTGGGTCCGAGTTGGATCGAAACCAATACGTATAGGCCTACAGTCATGACAGTACATGCGAACCGCGCCCAACATTTTGCCCGAATCCTACAATGTACTGCCATAAAAAAAGTGCCAACAATTTATCCTTCAATCAAACAGTATTCGTGGTAACATGACCAAAACGTCATTGACATGCAGTTCATTCTTGTATCATTGCTATGTTACATTCTTACAAATTAATACGTACCTTAACTTTTACCTTTGTTTCAGACGTTTTGTCAACAAAAATTGCTCTTGAGTCTTGTTCTGGCCGTAATCTGGGAGTTGGACTTTTGGAGTTGGACCATACTATGAAGCCCGGGAAGGGACAGGGTGGATTTTTTTTTTTTGGAATTTCCTAATTCGTTCGCACGAATTACTAATTCGTTCGCACGAATTACTAATTCGTTCGCACGAATTCCTAATTCGTTCGCACGAATTCGTAATTCGTTCGCACGAATTCCTAATTCGTTCGCACGAATTCCTAATTCGTTCGCACGAATTACTAATTCGTGGGAACGAATTAGTAATTCGTTCATAATAATTAGCAAACTCCAAAAAAAAAATCCACCCTGTCCCTTCCCGGACTTCATATTGGACTGACTGCAGACAGCAAATGTAATTGTACGATCGATGGAGGGCGCGCTAGAAGCAGGGCCGGGCCGGGCCGGGCCGGGCGGCCCGGCCGGGCGGCGCGGCGCGCGCGGCGAGCAGGCAGAACTTTATTCCGCGCGGTAATTGTGGAGATGTCCTCAAAATGGTTATATTTTGGAGCAATTTTGGGGCTCTTTATTTTAGAATTGGCAGCCAACAGTGTGGCAGGTGACGGCACTAGCAATGCTCGCAAAAACGCCGCAGCTATGGATGGAATCGTCCCAGCGACGAGCAAGAATTCCGAGGGAGAAAATCCTGCCAGCGGGCAGGTTTGCGAGGCAGATACCTGTCACGGTCACTGGGACCGGTGGAGCGGGTCCGAGGGAACAGACAGGGCGGGGAAGGATGCGGAGTTTGCCCGGGACGGGATCAAAGATGGATGGGACAGGAATGGTTACGTTACATTTTGCCCGTGTATGGGTAAGAGTCTGAGAGTCTGCCACATGTCTTGTTTAACGTTATGCATGATATCGATGACTGACTATAAAGTTTGATAAATTAAATGTAACGTAAAAAGTCACAGATACTGACAGGATAGCCCCATAAATGTGGCCTATTTACTGGACTGCCTCCGTAAACATAGGCCACACATATCCACATGTACAAAAACGTGTCGACTTTGCCAAATTTAGATTTTCACATTTAGGCTTACTTTGTAGGTTTTTTTTTTGCTTTAGAAGCATTCTCACCCTCTATATAGGCTAATCAGAAAGTGCTGCCTTTTTCAGATGTCTAATTTTTGTGAAATTTCATGTTGAAATTTTGATACGAAAACGTGTGCAAATGTATCTGGAAATTTCACAAAAAATGGACATCTGAAAAAGTTCACTGTTCTCCTGTTCACTTTCCTCTCCATGACACTGACAGGAAATTTTGGGAACCAGGTGGAGATGTACCTCGCAGCATTCGCCTTTGCTAAAGTCGTGAACAGAACCCTGATACTACCTCCCTTCTACCATATACATCACCATGGCCGCCCGCCTCGAAGGGTTCATGTGAGTATTTTTTTAAATTTTTTTTTGTAATACTCTCCTGGCCAAAAGGTCAAATTGGGTTTCCATATGTAGGCCTACATTGTACAATTCATTAATGTAATAACATTAACAATGTTATCACAATAATGTATCTCATATGAAACCTTAGAACAGATGTTATTATAGGTAAACATCCTCCAAATGCTACATATAGTAGTAAGATCAACCCCTGGACCATTCCAGCTAAGCTCTTCTCCCCAATAAAAATCCAACAGATGATATTATAGGTGAACATCCTCCATTCCATTCCAATAATTCCTCTATCACAAGCCGTACACCCCTCATGCGGTTCACGAGTAACATGGGCTCACCATCAACAACCCAACGGAAACTATCAAACTAATTTCAGAGCACTTCGGTAAACTTAACTAGTTCCGCGGCAGTGTGGTCTCTGGCATGCCCCCTTTTGAAGGAGAGCCTAAGGAAGTGTAGTCCTCCATGAAGAAGAAACTCAATACAGCCACTCGTGCTCAAATACCCGCAGAGACGCTGGCACAACCTATATCAGACATCTTTAACCAGGCGTTAGAGGAGCAGCAACCACGCAGTATTGGACGCGGTGTCCTCTTCCTACTACAAAAGCCTGGGAAACCTTGAGGTCCTTTGTCCAGCCTCAGATCTATCATCCTACAGACAACACTGGGCAAGATGCTCTCTCTGTTGGTCCTCAAAAGCATCTAATCTATGAGAAGAGGGACACGTTTCTTGCCTCTGGACAAAGCGGTTTCCAGCGAGTTCGTGGAACAGCAAACTTAGTGTTTGGCTACCGCTGGCTGTGTGCCAAGCCACAACGATGTTATCAGAGTGCAGAGATCTCGGGCTTATATGAGTCACGACTTCGATGCCATCAGAAGAGACATTCTTCAGACGTTTCTCGACGAGATCGGAATTGCGCATCATTCAACTTCTTTTGGCAGAAACATCACTAGAATCCCGCCTGCAGAAGGGCACATGCGAACCCTTTGACACCACCATCGGCACACCTCAGGGAGACAGCCTGTCTCCAGAACCGTATGTTGTTTACCTAGAGACCCTCGTCAGAAGCTGCTGACGCGAAGTAACAGAGACGGTGGTCTCCCTCTTAATGCAGCATTAATGCAGATGATGTGGACTTTGTGAGATACATGTAGTTGTGAGAATTTCATGACACAGTTTGTGAGAATTGAACTTGGTACTTGGTTGGTTCTTCTCCTAAGGACTTCCACAAGGGAGTATAACTAGAAGGCCAGAAACACCAGGGCAAACCCCTTCTCTTAGCGATAAGTGTTACTGGGGTCTTTTACGTGCGTTAGGCCTTATACAACACACGGGACCTCCGGCTTAACGTCCCATCCGAAGAACGAAGCAATAATGGTTAAGTGCCTTGCTTAAAGGCACAAGTGTCCGGGCCCGGCTCAAACACACGCCACTGTTGCCTCTGAAGCACCAGAGCATGAGTCCGGTGCTCTTAACCGCTAGGCCATGACACTCCATGGTCACATGCCCATGAACACAGTCACATGCACCAACAATTCAGTGTCAAGGATACATAATTGATTCCGTTATGACATGTATGAAGCCAACTACATTTTCCCTTTTTTTTCTCATTTCCAACAGAAATCTGTGCCGTTCACAGAATTTTTTCAGGTTGATGCAGTACGAGAGTTCCATCGTGCCATTTCTATGGATGATTTTCTGACGACGCTAGCCCTCAAGCACTGGCCCCAGGGTCAACGGAAGGCCTATGCCTACCCCTTCAGAGGAGAATGCCGCCTGACACAAAGTAAAAAACACAATCAAAGTTGTAGACCACACACTGGCAACATAAGGGTGCAGATAAGAGCAGTAAATACATTGCAATAGGCACCAATGGTATTAATGCCCAAACTTGAAAAAAGGAGGAAATACTAGGTGATCCAGACATGCACACTATACATGTTTAATAATTAAAGCTTGATGTGCCCTCTTCCTCTTTCTGTTCAGTTTTGGGGTTTAACCGATGAAATTTCCCTCCAAATGTTTGCATGGACATTACCATGAATTACAAGAGAGCAAGTAGTCTTCAGTGAAGATTTAAAAATGGGTATTGAGGTGGAGCATCGGACTGATGCCTTGTCTCCTGCTTTCTTTGAAGTGTGGGTAATACGCAGGTTGCCCTGGGAGCACACGTTTCCTTGTGTTGTTGTATACATTGCACACTGAAAAACACTTTTCATGTGCACACCATTTCCTTCTTTAACCCTAACTCCCTAGCATAATTTACTAGGAACCATACCCATCCTGGCAAATTCAAACACCCACATGAGGAATTGTACATGTACACTGTTTGACTTAGTTTCTGGAGGTATGCCAAACCCATTGTAAAATACCATCTGTTTGGGGGTACTGTACCCATCCCAACAGATTCAAACAAAACCTGCTGTTGAACTTTGACGGGTTGGGTTCGGTTAGGGTTACTAACCTGAAATAAAGATGCTCAAAATTTGTTTTATGAATATTTTGGGTTTTTTCCAATTTGCTTTAATCCTTTGTATTGCGAAACAGAGGTGTATGCTTTTGTTCTACAGGCATGACAGGTATGCATTTGTACACCTGTTGTGCATTCATTGTACATGTAACTAAATTATAACAACAAAAAACACTTCAAAGATGGTTGATGGATACAAAAGGTCTGGAAGCAATTGGCCACCTTTCTTGTTAATTCGTATTCCATAGCAAAAGTTACACTTTAAAAGAATGAGGATGTTCCTAATCGTCTTCACTTTCTTCCTTCAAACCATATAAATCCCAGGTGAGTCTTTTTATAAGGAGTTAAGCCAGCCAGTGGAGTTTGATGCGTGCATTCCAACTAAGTTAAGGACTGACGTCGATTTCAGCGATGAAAACTTGAGGACAACAATAACAAAACTTTGGTCAGAAAGGTAAATTACTCAAGGGGGACACTCATGGACCAGTGTTACCCTCCTCTATGACAGCATGCATTGTCAGCCTTGTTATTACTTGGGTCAATATTGGTCAAGACCCCCATTGGTTTGCAAGGGCGGATCCAGGGGGGGGGCCAAAGGGGGCCATGGCCCCCCAAAAACGAAACCAATTTGTTTGTTTTTTATGTGACATCGCAATAAAGGCAGGCAATGAGTACACCACCATCTTGTCCTCAAAAAACATTGGTTAAAGTGGTCAGAAATTGCCTCAGATCGCACCACAGAGCATCTAGAATCCAAAAATTTTTCGGGGCCCTTAAGCGGGCCCCGAACCCCACGCCGTAATTTTCTTGACCAACTTTTTGGGGGGACCAAATTTTTTTTTGGCCCCCTCCAAAATTGTGTTCTGGATCCGCCCTTGTTGGTTTGTACACAGTATGCCAGGAGGTGAGGAAGAAAATTTTGACCGATTGTGACCTCTTTAATAGTAGGAGGGTTAGTCTGGTGTCCTGTTTCCATTGCTGACCAGGGACACAGAAAACCAGTGTCTTGTATCTCGTACCCCACCATCAGTGATGACTCTGTGGACACGGAAAGACAGTGTTAGCTGGTGACTGGTGCCCTGTCATCAGGGGTGAACATGACAGGGATCCAGAGAACCAGCATATGCCGGTGCCCCA